TACTTCTGCTTAGATATCTACATAAACAAGATCAGAGACATCATTGCAATCACTGAACACGTGCAATTAGTTACAAAAAATGCATTAATTTTGAAGCTTCATTGATTTTCTGGAAATAATAGTTGTACGTTACAACAGGAATTTGTTAAGTGAGTTCTATCCTTAAAACCCAAAATTTTCAACGAGCAATTTTGCTTAAGTAATATAGACACTATACAATACATGCAGCTAATATAGGGCTCACTTGCTCAGTCCAATTATCTTTAGCAACTCACTTCGCTCTTTCCTCAGATTCAGAGTGTGATTTATAATACAAAAGATAGTAAAGGGGGACAGTTGATCTATTGTTTAGTTACTTCATTTCTGTGAGACACCAATTTGGAAACCAAGCAGTCAAGAATTACTTATGAAATTTAGACAACTTTTTGAAATTGCAGAATTAACTAATCCTAATACTAGCTATGAAATGTATTGCGCTATGGACATCACATGGTAGCTAGATCTATATAGATCTAGATCTTAATATAAATAAAATTTTTTCCTTAGATTCTGAGAGCTTAATTCAAGCCTTCAACCTCCCTAGCTTGCCAATTATGTGCACAATGATTTATTACAGACAAAATTTGACTTCATTCAAACAGTAAACAGTAATAATAATTATTAAAGTATTCTATAATACAAAAGCAAACTAAAAAATTAAATTAGCACAAATAGATTCTCAACTACACTATCCTGTAAAATACTGCTATTTACACCAGAAGCCAGTATAGAAACTAAGAGGGTGAGATTAATGGTTCTCTCACTCTATCATAAGGTTCAAAAAATGATCCACTCAAATTATCAGACCTATGAGATCTTTCCTCATATTTTCGTTCCATTGACAAACGATACCAATAGCCTTGACACTTAATCTTCAGTTTATCCAATAAACCAGTTACCCATAGGAAATGTAGAATAATAACACCTGCAAGGAAAAGTGTCATTATACTGTAAATGATATCAGTAATAATTAGAAACAGAAAACTCTGGTCATTTTTAGTAAGATACCAATCAGTTCCATATAAAACAGATAAAAATGAAATCAGAATAAAATTGAAGATATTTAGCGACATCTTTTTAAATGGTCGGGCCAATCCTTCAAGTGCAGTGTAAGTGGCCAGTATTGGTGAAACAATAGCAATAAATACATATATGTTATGACCTCTAAAATAAGAATAAAGAATGTAAATGAAAATTACTAAAGTGAGACGAGAAACAAAAAAGATCTCTTTATTTCTTTTGTAAGGAGCATGTATAGCTTCATATACAGGACGTATATATTCTCTGATCCTATAACTGATCCTCATTAGTGGCCTACCAGCTAATAATACAGTCATGTATACACCTAATATAGGACCAACTACCAGTGATGTAATGATCATTAGTACTAGATGACTCCCTTTACCATACTCTTTTGTAGAATCTCTGAACCAAACACTTTGAGCCTCACTTGTATTGGTGTATACATTGATTGATGCAAATACATCGATTATTGATAGGAATAGTGTTGAGAATGAGAGGTGAATTACAGTGACTAATACCTGTATTGATGAACCTGATATTCTGTTTGATAGTCGAACTGAAAAACGACTCAGTACAATAAGAAATAGTAGAATGATTATAAGGTAAATTGGATATAGTATACCAAAAAATGATTTCTTAATTTCAGTCATTCCATTGTAGAAGCATAAAGAAAAGTTGGGTTTAAATAGAAGGATACCTTTTACCAGTGTGCTAGCTATATTGTAAGGTGATGGTGGCAGGTCAATCACTTCAAACAATTGTGCACAAAAGATGATGCCATTGAGTGTACCAGTAGTTAATGTTAACCTCAGTACATATAATAAGTATATCAATACAGGACCACTTATTGCATGCACTATTATCATTAACAACCACCAATTACTGCATTTCTTACATTCACTTGATCCAAACACTACACTATAACCAGGAGAGCACTGTGAACATAGAGGTCCTTCTCTATTTGCAAGACAGAGTGGATGAGTTTTTTGAGGATACTTATGATCATCAGCCACAGTTACTGTAGTACTGTTCACAATAAATACTGAGTCAGAACTAGATCTATTACTATTATCAAAACTACAAAATATAAAACATGATTCTGCTGCTCCAATCACTGTCCTTTTGTTGTAAGTCATAGGTCCAATCCATGTGAAAGGTGGTCTTAAAATACTAAAAACTGAATGAAATATCAAGCAGTCATTTGGTTTAATACCAACTTTAATTAGAAAATGTAAGCATACACACTTTCCTAGTGTGAGATCAAGAGTAAATCCAATAGGACAATCAGATAATTCATCAAGTTTAACTCCTACAGATGATTTAGTAAAAAATGACGATATAACCAGAAGGTCATCTCTACGATTGGAATTGTTATGAAGCTTGAGCAGTGTAATGTTGACAATATTACATTGATGCCTGTTTGATAGAGCATGTGTGGTATCATATGCTGATACTGACCATGCAGGAACTATACTATTTGGTGCATCAATTGGTAGTCCTATTGCAAAATTTATAATGGCATAGTCCATGGTCAAGTTATGCCTGTATAGATCCTTTGCATGAAGTGGTAGCATCAGTGTTTGACCTGGATACACTGGTTTAGAATAGATGTATAATGATTTGCTACCGTTCATTTGACTTAAATGAAACTCTTTGGCTCTACATAGCCCCAATGTGAAAGAGGGTGTTGAGATATTATGAAGTTGGGAAGAAGAAATAAAATTAAAGCTTATAAAATAGAGTGACAACATTTGCTTTGTTGTTTGAAGTGATCCAAATCCTGATGCATAACAATGGAACATATTGTTACTGTATATAGAGCTACCTGATATTCCAGCAGTGTTATTAATAAATGTCATCTTAGTTTTATTGCTAAGCATCTGGAAAATGCATAAGTTGGAAGTGTCATCATTAGCATATATAGCTCCTCCTTTAGTCACAGCAACATTGTCAATGAAAGTAACATTATATCCATTACCAGGAACTTCAGGATAAATATGAGTGTTGCCATTAAGATTGAATGCTGCTCCACTTTCTGCTTTATTCCTTAAAAATGTAAGATTACCACTGAGCTCAATCTTAGTGTTGATCACTTTAAATACTGAGCCATAGTTGTTAGAAAAGTTACTAATTCCACCTAATCTAAGTGTTGCAGCATTATAAATTAAGAACAGTGCATCTTTATAACTAGAAATTTTGACACTGGCAATTGTGTTATTGTATGCCATGATTTTCTTCAGTACAATGTTTAATACTTTGTACTGATTGTTGTCATCAAAATAATATGTGCTAGCATACATACATGATCCTGTTGCTAAACTCGAAATGCTGTTGCGAACAAATGTACTATTTTTAACAATGACAGTAATATTTGAGTTAAATTTAGGCTGAAATACTCCAATGTATACAGCATTATAGCTGGTCTTCAACACTGATAGTCTAATATTTACAAAACAACAACTGTCAATAATTAAAGGAAGGCTAGTGTTTGGTACTGCCATCATTATCAATGCAAGGCTTGCTCCATACTTTTCACACCTTTCTTTATTGATGATGTCATTGTTATAGCCAAGCTTACAACCATGTACCATTGTTTTTCCCTTGTTTGTTTTGTAGTGCAATATCAGGATTGCTCCAGAAATTGATCCAATGTTTCCACCAAGGGTTGTGTTACTAACAGTAACATTTGAAAAAAAATTCTTTTGGGAATAGAGCACTGTTAGACCAGCTGCATTAACAACAGGAAACTTACCAGACACATATTGTAAATCAGTGAGACACTCTACAACAGTTACTTGTTCCGAATTACCATCTATTAGTGTATTCTTGACAGTAACACTGTGAGCTTTAGAAGACTCATTTTCATGATCAGTGAAGAGTAACAAGATCCCACTGCCAAAACTATTTTTATGCCAACTAAAAGCAATCATAGATGAGTTAGATTCTATTCCTAATACATTCATTAATGCATTCAATGGATTAATAGCTAGTATAGAAAAACCGTAATAAAAGGTAATGTTTACTCTTTGAATCAGTAGTGCATCTATGCCAAAAATAAGCAAAACTGCTGATTGATTTTGAGTAAAATAAACAGACTCAAAAGAATTAATGATTTGAATGATCAAGGAGCTGCTACTTAAAAACCCACCACAACCACTCCATACTAACCTGTGTAGAGTTAAGTTGTGTATGTTAATGAAAGCAAATCCAGTAGTGGGTTGAGTGGAGCCATTATTACTGCAGTTAATGACAGCTTGTTGTAGTGATGAATCACTGGTAAGAGTCAGTGAGTAGGTAGTATTGATTATACAGAATGATACATCATCAATGATATGAGTAATGTCAGTAGACAACACTAAGTGAGTGTCTCCATCCAATGAACTGCTATTGTGGCATAAAATCTGTTCCAATTGTTTCTCCTTTGTGACATTCACAATATGCTGAGTAAAAGACGACTCACAGATGACAGCCAAAAAAATATAAATCATAAAAAGAAACATTTTTTGTCACAAAACTATATGGCTATACTGTTGGTACTTTTTTGCTTAAATATCAACAGTATGAATGCATTGCTTATCAGTTATATGCTTTACTGCTCAGCCATACATTTGTTAAATAATTTTAAAGTGTCTATGCTATCAGTTTCATGTTCGAAATTAACAACATTTAAAGCGACGTTGGATGAGCAGCAATGCATTAAATAAACTTGGCCTCATTTTCAAAAGCAGTGACCTTTGACTAATTGATTTGTCTTTCTACTATAGTGAGGTTGCTTTGCTTAAACAAGGGTTGACGTATCACGCATGAACTTAACTATTAAAGGCATCAAACTTGATGAAGCTGCATCCATTAACTATCATATTATTGTGTGATACTTTAGTGTGACAATTTTCTAAAGCCATGATTAATGATGATAATGTAATGCACTTTAAAATAACTTTGTTTGAATAAAAACGGTACAAAACACACCACGACAACAAAATACATTTCAATCATTTGTTTCAGTAAATGAAGCCACCATGGAAGTCTCTATGAAAGTGACAGGTCCTTTCCTGTCTCCGTTTTCTGCATTTAAAACCTAAAAAACATTTCTTATTCAAATAAAGTTACAATGTATTATCAATACCCTTTTTCCTTCTAGCTGTGACTGTAGCTCCAGGACTTTATTCTGCAACTGATCAATTCTCTCTTTATCACTGACTACTGTTAATGCTCCACTTCTTCCAAACTCAATTGAAGACATTGTCTGTGAGGTCTCACAACTCTCTCCCTTGGGATCTTTATATAAACGATACATCTATGATAAATATAAACAATACATATGAATGATAAAAATTTATGTCTTGTTACTTGAAACAACAACAACAATTGCACCCTTAAAAGCTATTAATATACTTATCAGTCATACATGTACAATTACCAGCTCACCTTTGATGCAAATATGACTAGTAAAATTGCAATAGCCACAATCAGCAGGCCAGCATCATAAAGTGCCTCATGAATATTATAAAAACTAGACAGAGCGAATGATACAACCACCAGCTCTACCAGTACAATGCTAGTTATGTAAATGATAGTTGCAACCTCTTTGAGTCAGCAAGTATTTTAATACGAACTTTGCATGTTTGTATGGCAAGAATGAGAGCTATTATTTGAAGCATTCCAAGATAAATAAGAAGTCTGGTAAGCATAGGAGCTCGTTTTCCCGGTATAGCAAGGCTGCAAAAGTCATGGCAGCCATTTTGTTTAGGGGTGAAGCCTACTTAGTAACGCTACAACGTTACTAATGTAAAAAAGTGAGCCACACAAAAGATGCAGTAGTGAAGCAATGATACACATAATAATCTAGTGGAACTCCTCTTTCCTAGAAATAGAGATTATCGTAATAATCAATTAAGAGACAGTCATATGTATAATAAACAAAAACTAAGTCATAAATAACATTTTAAAGTAAAAGATTCTTAATCATGATACAAGTACTCACATCAAACTTGTTTGAGTTTTTTCTGTCAGATTCCAGTGAGAGCTTCAATCTTGTTTGAGATATGACAGATCCAATGAAGCACCATGGTGCGTGGACTCGCCTGCTGAGATTCACCTGAGAGATAATGTGTTACTTGTACTGCCCCCATCATGATATTATACATATTATAAGCAACTTGATATTTGAAAAAAGGATAATAGATTTTGACAAAGTGCAACAATGCAATTACTGCACTGATCCATAAAATAAATTTTAGGTGTGGTCAGCACCTAGCAGTGCAGTGCAGATAAACATGGCACGTGGGTAGGAGAAAGAAGAAAAGCTGGAATTTATTTTAGCATCTGAAGCTCTATTCAAAGAAAGAGTAAGCACAAAAAATTTGCCTAGATATTTAAAAGAGACTGAGATAGTTTGGTTGCTCCTGCTTTCCCCAGTGCTGCCTGAAAATTTTTCGAAGAGGCTAAATCACAAACTTTGAGCAACTGTAGCTCGCAAACAAAAAAGAGATAAGAAAATTCCCACATATTTTTTAATCTAGGTACTTTTCTCTACCTATCAATGCTAATCTTGACCAAATAGAGTGAAACACGAAGATTTGGCTAGGAAAAGTGGTCTATTCTTGAAAATATTCGGCTTTTGCCACCACGGATTGCTATGAAAATACAACGGAGCTAAATAAATTATCTTTTTCTCAAAGCTTAAAAAGAATTATAACTCAGGAGAGTTCAGTAAAAAAGATATTAACTAGGAATTAACAGGAATTTTCGTGACAGAATGACAGAATGACAACCCAACTGCTTAGTACCCGCCTACGCAAGCGTGGCGAGTCCAATTATCAATATAGCAACCATGCCAGCAGTTATTAATAGAATTAGACCAATCAAATGCCAATCAGTGAGTATCTGGATGTGAACAAATATGACTTTAAATTAAAATGTGTTGGGTGATAATATTCATTATAATAGTATACAATATGCTAAACAGCATGCTTCTTGAGCTGACAGGCACTACAATACAATACATATTGCATTTGAAGCAACTTTAAAAATTCATTAAAAAATCCAAATTTAATTGGAATCTGCTTGAACTTTCTATGCAACTTAAGTGGATGTACATGTAGATCTATATGCATAAAAATTATAAAAACAAAAAAATCTTTATTTTTCATTTCTGAAAAAATTTGGCCAAATACTATGTACTATACAGTACATGGTCTTTGATTCAATTTTTGAAAAACTTAAAAAAAATTTAAATCCAAATTTCATTGGAATCCGCTCCACTTAACTACATGTCTTATACACAACTTAAGTACTTGTATATGCATCAGGAAAAACAATATAAATAAAGAATTTTTTGCCTTTCATTACTTCATTTCTGGAAAAATTTGCATGTGTACTTGGGCCCAATTTTTGAGCAACTTTAAAAATTCATAAAAATTCAAAATTTGATTGAAAATTGCTCAAACCTTCTACACAAAATATGTACATATATATGCATCAGAAAAATTATATTAATGAAAAATTTTTTAATAGCCATTTTGTCAAAATCTGGCCAAACACAGTGTGTTTATAGTACTTTGACAATCCACTGATTCAGAAAAGAAGCTGCATAAGCACTATACCAAACAGCCAAAGTCCTGTGGGATACCCTACATTGACTTAAACTTTCTACATTGTATAAGAACATTATTTTCCCAAACAGAATGTTTCCTAAAGGCAGTATATTAGTTTAGTTGACTATCATTAAGCATAAAGCATGAAATTAGAAAAACAATCATTGCTGAACTGAAAGTAAACAATAAAGTCCCCACATCATTCCCTTGCCTATGGTCAATTGAATAGATGCTCTTCACCCAAATGACTGCAGCCCTTTTGCAACCACAATTTTCATACCTTTTTATTTGGCGAAGGATTATGAAATATGTAATATATCCTCCACATTTTAGACAGGATGGTTCCAAAAGCAATTGTGTATCCAATGAAATCAAGGTACAATGAAATCTAAATAAATATATAAAAATAAATAAAATAAATCTTCATTGTGGTATAGTCTCACATAGCAGAGTAAGAGTCAAGTTTTTTTAAATCTTTCTTCATCGCTGGTATCAAATGGAAATATTTGTAAAAATATTGAGAGAAAGACCATTGAAGTGCCAGCAATAATGAAATAATTAAGATTAGGACTAATGAGCTTGATTAGCCTACAAATATAACACACAATAAATAAACAATGGGAGCTAAAAATAGAAATGTAAAATAGATCTAAGTAGGTGGAGCAACTTATACATAGATCTAGATTAGATAGATGAAATATTGATGATACAGACCTTGTGTCAGCTAGCACCCTGTCCAAAAATTGGTATGCCTGATTAGAAGTCCAGTCTAAATAAACACCTGTGCTTAATAGACACCTGTGCTCATAGATATGGTTCAAATGGTAATTTTAAAAATTAGATCTAGTGATGCAAAGTTTTTTCTAATAATAATAATAATAATAGAGTCTAATAATAATAATAGAATAATAATAGATCACTCTGTCTGATCAATATGACCTACTTACTGACACTCACTAGTGATTCATCACTACCAGCTATCATTTACTGTAATGGCTCCAACACACAACCTAACAGTGGAATCTCTTTCATTAATACTCAAAATCTCACTCTCCAGAGGCTAATGTTAAGGAATTGTGGTGGATATCTGAGAGGACTAGATGCAATTAACTCTATCACTTTTTTACTCGATATCATTGCTTTAGTTTTCCTACACATTGGTTCATTGCTTATCAAAGAGGTCAGGATTGTTCTTTAATCTCACAAATGAACTTATGGATAGCATGGACGTATAACAATGGGAAGTACAATATACATTCAAATCATGGTCATATCAGATGATCATTGCAGGTAAAGCTATATTGATGTGTCTTTTGGAAACAGAAATGAAGTTATGAACACGATCAAAGCAATGTCACTACCACAAGGCACAGCACTTGTTTCTGATAAATTTAAAAGTATCTATGCTTTCTATTTCTGTTGAATTAAGGATCAGTCTTCATCTTCGTAAAGGGATTTTGGATGACATTAACTAAAGTTGAACTGAAATTTGTGTTTACTACTTACTATAGTCAAGCTTGGCTTTGTTGATAGTAATCAAGATTCATACAAGTGTATACACTGCATATTCTAAATTAATTTTTTTTCTAGTTCACAAAGCATGTGGAATAAAGGTTGGTCCAGTAACTATTGGTTGTGCTGATGATGAGGAAAACTATCTTGGATTATGCTATAAGAAATGTTCACTTCCTGCTAGTGCAGATTTCCCATTACACCGGCACAGCAACAAACACATGCTCGGAATGGATGCGATGAAGATGAAGAAAATGATGCTGATCTGTGCTATCCTAAATGTGAAGAAAACTACAAGGGAGTTGCCACTATTTGCTGGGGATATTGCAGCTATTTCTGTGGACCAGAGTATGATGACAAAGGCCTATACTGCTACTGGTGGTGGCCACCAAAAAACTGTTACGAGCCAAAGTATGATATAGGTACTTGTACCCTACTTTTAAAACCCTGGACCAATGGATTTGGTGTGAATAATCAAGGAGGATGTACAAAGATTGCCATCTCTGTAAAATGCATTGATCTTGGATGCAACAAGCAACAAAGAAGTAACATAGAATTTTTTGTTAGAGCTATTTTTGATGGTTCTTGTTGTCATACATATAATAAACTTTAATAAATGAAATTTTACATTACTTGATTTAATGAATGGGGAAGAAAGTGACAAAGAAAAGTACAATGGGGCATTGTGCTAGGTTAGCAGTCTATCGTGATGCACTAGAAGTTGTAAATAATAGTATGGGCCTGGGGCAAACATGTGTCACGAGAGCCACAATATCTAATACCAATATTTTGGGTAGCTTACTATTATGTACTATTAGGTGTACTTAGTTGTAAATAATACCAGGCACATGTGTCAAACATTAAGGCATTTCTTACACGTGCTTGTAACAAGAGCTGCATGATGCATGCCTCATGTTCAG